TCCAGCTATGTGGCTTGGGTGAGCTTGCTAGTCCTTCATTTCCAAAGTTTTCAGTGTCTTCAACTGCAAATATAGAGATATAGTGGCACATGCCTGTAATCCAAGCAGCTCAGGAGTCTGAGGCAGGAGGATCGTGAGTTCAAAGCCAGCCTTAACTAGTTATTCAGAGTGAAATCCCTATTGGTGTTTGTTTCCTCTCTGGTATATGACACACTGTGAAAGATGGTCACCTGGACAAGACAGAGTCAACAGAACTGGTATGATGAGGTATGGACATGAAAAAAACAATTTTCCATTTTATTTTGCTTTTCTACATAACAACTTAGTGAGATCCTAAGCAATTTAGCAAGACCCTGTCACTAAATAAAGTATAAACCAGGTGTGGTGGTGCATATCTGTAATCCCAGTGGGATTAAAGCCAGCCTTTAACAATTTAGTGAGACCCTGTCTCAAAATAAAAAAACTAAAAAGGGGGATGTGGCTCAGTGGTTGAGTGCCCCTGGGTTCAATCCTTGGTATGGAAAAAAAAAAAAAAGAGGTATAAGATACAGCTCCTTCACAGTCATTGTAAGGATTACATTGGAACACAACACATAAATAAAAATGCCCAGCACAAAGAAAGACACAGGGGATCTGCTCAACCAACATGAGCTGCTTCTCTTCCTCTCTTTTTTATATTTATTTTTTTAGTTGTAGTGGACACAATTTCTTTATTTCATTTTTATGTGGTGGTGAGGTTTGAACCCAGTGCCTCACATGTGCTAGGTGAGCACTCTACCACTGAGCCACAACCCCAGCCCTCTTCCTTTCTGTTGACTATTGGTATTAATAATCCGTGAAGCATGTTCACTCCTGAAATAAAATCTACCCTGGTGCCACTAGATGCTGAAGATATAAAATAAGACACATGCCCAGTTGCATGTGTCTTACCTGTTGCCTGGCACTCAGTAAATACCTGATGAAGAAGGCAAAACAGCAGGAAGTAACTTGGATGCTATGCAGAAAGGTGTGCATGGGGAGGCAGGAGATACCAGGGAAGGATGCTCTAAATCTTTTCAGGGGAGTAGAGAAGAATTCCCAAAGGACGGTGTTGGGGCTGGGAAAATGATGCCCAGCGTTTGGAGTTTTGGTGTGCTGAGCACTTTGAGCTAAAGGAGATTAAAAGCATTTGGGAGCAGGCTGAGAACCATGAACTATCTGACCTCCTGCTCCTTTTCCAGGCACCGGGGGAACGCTCTGATGCTCCCTTATCAGAAGGAACCTAATTCCATTGTCATAGCCTCATGAAACCTTACTGACCAGGGAAGATTAAAGTCACATCGCCAGAAGAAAAAGTGGGAATGTTACTGTACCAAAACTCTGTCACAAGCTACTATCTGTTCTTCAATGTCATTCAGTTTCCAGAAAATAAAACAAAAAACAAAAAACCATTTATGAATGACGGTCCACTTTTGGGGCCCCCTTTATTTCTCTGAAAAAACAATTTACTCTTCCTCTGAAAGTGCCTGCAGTCCCAATTCCCTCTCCACTGTGAAGAGGGTGTGTAGACCTCCAGTCACCTCGTCCTCCTTTGAGTGTCATATTTTGTATGACTCCTGTGCGTGTGTCCACATTAAACAAATTTGTATGCTTTTCTCTTATTAATCTGTCTATCGCCAGCTTATTTCAACAGACTTAAAGACTCAAACCTTTAGAGAAGAGGAAGAAATTTCCTTTGCCCGGAAATGTTTCCGATGGGTAATTAGAAACGTTCCAGCAGAGTAGAAAGAGGAAAGGGTGATGGTGCAGAAAGACGGGAAGCAGATGCTAAAGGCGGAAGCCTGGAAGGGAAAAAGGCTTTGATGTGTAGAGGGAAACAGACACGAAGCAGTAGAAATGAAAGGTAGATTGGGAAGGACCACCTTCGTCAACCCAGGGAGTTTGGGCTTTCATCTTTACACCAGTTCATCTCAGATTTCCAGGCACTAAAGAATCATCTGGGACCATTTGGTAACATGCAGGTCCTGGTTCAGTGGTAGGTGGTAGGGTCTGAGATCCCGCCTGCCTACTAAGATCCTATGTGACACTGGAGCAACTGGTCCACGGGCCACATAACGGTGGCAAGGGCTTCACAAAAGGGAGTCAACAGAGATTCCTAAAAAAGAGACCTCAGATTTATTCACTAGGAAGCTCCCTGGGCTGCAGGGTGGAGAACGGAGGGGAGCTGCAGCTACTTTATAGTCTAACTGGTGATACAATACGGCTAATGACATAACACCAGGACACTGCAGCCTCAGAGTCAGATTGGGTCTTGGAGATAATATGGTTGAACGCTCTATTTATTTATTTCCTGGCACTGGGGACTGAACCTAGAAGAGCTGTACTACATCCTCAGTCCATTTTATTTTTTAAGTTTAAGACAAGATCTCGCTGGGATGGGGATGTGGCTCAAGCGGTAGCGCGCTCGCCTGGCATGCGTGCGGCCGGGGTTCGATCCTCAGCACCACATACAAAGATGCTGTGCCCGCCGAAAACTAAAAAGTAAATATTAAAAAAAAAAAATTCTCTCTCACTATCTCTGTCTCTCACTCTCTCTTTAAAAAAAAAAATCTGTTTTAAAAAAAAAAGATCCTATCTCTAAATAAAAATGTATTTAAAAAAAAAAAAAAAAAGATCTCGCTAAGTGGCTTGAGGCTGGCCTGGAGCTTGTGATCCTCCTGTCTCTGCCTCCTGAGTCACTGGGATTATAGGCATGTGTCACTGAGTCTGGCTTGAGACTTGTACTGTTTAATTCTTAAAAGTTCCTACAAAGAATTTTTTAAGGGTTTTATATATTATGGGGCTGGGGATGTGGCTCAAGTGGCAGCGTGCTCGCCTGGTATGCGTGCAGCCCGGGTTCGATCCTCAGCACCACATACAAACAAAGATGTTGTGTCCACCAAAAACTAAAATAAATAAATAAATAAATAAATAAAAAGGGTTTTAGGTGTGTGTGTGTGTGTGTGTGTGTATTTAGTTGTTGATAGACCTGTATGTGGTGCTAAGAATCAAACCCAGTGCCGCACACATGCCAGGCAAGTGCACTACTGCTCAGCCCCAGCCCCAGCCCCAGAAGGCATTCTAATTTTTGAATTTCAGGAAAGTGAGGTTCCTGGTTGAGAAAAGAAGACCTGATTTAAAAAAGGAAATGGTGAAATGGAGGTCACAGGGCAAGACTTTGAGAAATGGGGAAAGATCCAGAAAAGCAGAGACCTTTTAGTTATCTCTACCACATGGGACCTGGGCTTCCAGGGAAACAGCTGAATAGGCAGGAGAACACACAAACACTCGCAGGGGGACCCAGATAAGCACTTCCAGGCTAACAAGAAGAAGCCACTTCCAGGCTAACAAGGTTCTTTTTCAGAGGTTAAAGTAGCACAGACCAGATGTAGGTAGTGTTTTCAGCTTACAGAGAGATCCTACTCTTTTGCAGGAAGTAAACCCTGCCTGCTCATGCAGTCACATGCCTTCTGTTTTATCTGCCCCATAAATAGCTGATGCATTGAGAAATAGCTGACTTCCATCTTTCTCAGAACTTGCAGAAAGGGAGAAGTAACAAGGGGGAAAATTGTTATTCAGTTGACTAATCTAAAAGCCATCTCAGCAAGTTAGACCCAGTGAGGATGGATTTTTCTTTTTTCATGGATCTAGAAGCCAGATATTGGGATCCAATGATCTAAGAGAAAACTGGGATGTGGCCAACTTTGAGGATACTAAAAGTCAAAGAAATGTCATCCAGTTTAAAGGGGTAAGGTTAAGGTCTACAAATTCAGCAGAAAAACACCAGAGATAAAGGCTTTTAAAAAATGTACCCTAATATTCCTCTTGCCCTTAACTTATATATAATGAAAGTTCAAATTACTGACCCTGTGCTAGGCACTGTTGTATGGATTATCTCATTTAATGCTCATAAATCTATATCTGCCTGTTATTATTTTTTACAGAGGAAGAAAAGAGGATTGTCAAGAGAGAGGAAAAAAAAAAAAAAAAGCCAGAATTCTGTTTTGGTGCATGCCACCTCTGACAGATTCAAAAGGAGGAGTGGATATCATGCATGGTCACCTGTGGCGCATGACCATCATCTGATCATGCAAGCAAAGAGACTGCAACAATATTCACCTAGAAGCCCAAATGCTGGCTTGGAGAGGATTACACCCCAGTTGTGTGCTCTGGCTCTTTCCCCTCCCTTCACTCCCAATATATTTTTTTTTTTTTTTTTTAGAGAGAGAGAGAGAATTTTAATATTTATTTTTTAGTTTTCGGCGGACACAACATCTTTGCTTGTATGCGGTGCTGAGGATCGAACCCGGGCCGCACGCATGCCAGGTGAGTGTGCTACCGCTTGAGCCACATCCCCAGCCCCTTCACTCCCAATATTTAATCGATATTGAAATGAGACTGTAAACATGTCCGTGCCTCCTTCTTGCAGACACCCATCCACCTTCCACAGGGAAGGTTATTTTATCAAGTCTGAGCTGCCTGTCTTTCTGTGAGTGTGTGCTGGAGCTCCAACCCAGGGCCTCATGCTCACCTTGCCAAGAAGGCATTCTGTCGCCGGGCTGTGCCCACCTCCCTAAACAGCCTCTCGCAGAATCCTGCACCATGAAGACATCTAGGGATGAGATCCCCAGAGTAGCCAGAACAGCACCTGATGCCAAAGCGTGCTAAAATGGGATTCTTCCCCTCCAGTTCTAATGGCCCAACGTGGGAAAGGCGGGCTGTGGTGGACTCTGGGGAGACTCTGCTTAGTGGAGCTACAGACACTGGGGGGCAGCAAGCTGCCATTTCTTTTCTTCTCTCTTTCTGTGGGGTGATATAGAAAGCTCTTTCCTGACAAGGGGGTCAGAGAGAGTAAAGAGGGACAACTCACAGAAGCTGCCATTTGGCAAGGGCACTCCCAGAGGTGTGGGGCTTAAGTCACTGCTTCTGTCCTACTCAGCTGGATGAGAGCAGATCCCCAATAAGTCCCGAAAGATAATTACCCATTCTCAGTCATTGGTGTGATGGTTGCAGCAACGAGACCCTGAAGTTTCTTCTTTGGGGAGGCCATTGAGCTGCTGGAATGTCTGGAAAACATACAATGTCATTTTGTCTCTTTCTTCAAGGAATGTCAATTAATGACAAAACTCCCAGGCAAAGTCCATTCCTGGTTTAGAGCTGTAAAATATGCTTACAAGCACACAAACGCACAGAGTGAGTGTAAAATGTTAGAGCTTAGTTCTAATGAGCAGAAAACTTTAAAGTCAAGGAGAGGGTGGTGGGCCTGGGGAAATCCTGCCTGGAAGGCCTCTGACTGTAGCCACACAGATGACTGAGGCAAACCAAAACCTCAAAGACTCAATAACAGCAATAACAATAACAGCAGACCCAAGAGAGAAGTGCAACCCAATTCAGGTAAGAAAAACATATAAATAATTACTAAAATTGAAATATATTCAGAAAAAAAAATGCTCTTTTCTTTCTCCATGTTTTCATTCTGTTAAACTGGAGTCTCACCTAAAACCAGCACTTACAATCAATCTTAAGGTTTCAGTGTGACTTATAACAATCTTCAGTTACATTTGCCTAATATCCTTTCATATTCCAATTTTGACCAGTCTTGCTCAGTTTTCTGAGTTCTAGTAAAACATGTAAACCTCATATTCACTCTCTCTTTCCCATTGCAGCAGACTTCCAAGGGAGGTCAGGTAATGTTCCACTGGACTTTTTCTCCCTGCCTTGAGCCCTTTGCTTGACATCTATTATCAGGCGATAACTACTTGGTTGGATGAATGAGGTGCTCAGACTGTAGCAGGAGGATGAAGCCTCTTGGAGGGGACGCTCATTGCTAAGTCAACCCCACACTCATGGCAGCCAAAGGACCCTTCCATTGGCAGAGTGCAACTGTCTGTGATCCATGTAGGAGACCCAACGCAGCCAATGGAGCCAGTGCTTGACAGCCTAGGTTCTGTGGGCAAACTGCCTGCTTCAACTCTCAACTCTGCCTCTTGCTAGTTATAGACACATTATTATTTTTTGAGCTATAAGACAGAAAAGCCACAAATGTGATTTGAAGCCACATGTGCAACGTCTAAAGTCAGAGAAGAAAATAAACAATAATCAGATAGTATTTTGTGACAATTATACAAAAGTGGGCTTCTAGCAAATAACAGTGATACAGATAAGTGATCAACAAGAGGAGATATGTTATAGTTCTGACATTTCAGGCACATTAAAAATCCAATGCCACTACACTGAGATCTGGCCCAGATAACATAGCACTTTTTTTTTTTCTTTTGTGGTGCTGAGGATTGAACTCAGGGCTTTGTGCATGCAAGGCAAGCACTCTATCAACTGAGCTAATCTCCAGCCCAACAAAGGACTTAATTATGAACAAACTCATTCTGTCTGCTTATCTTATAACTGTGAACCTCATCTCCCTAAATATGAGAATCAACTTCTGGACAGAGAGTCCTAGCTCAGGTGAACCCTTGAGAAACACTAATTGCTTCCGTGACAAGCCAACATACCTTTCCTTGCAAACTGACATGTTCCCAGCAACACTAGTTCCCGACATCCAGCTTAAGCACTGCATGCAATGCTCCTCTGTGCTGAAGAGCAATGAAGGAGAGCCTACATTGAGCGACAGGACGCTAGGATTTCTCTGTCATTTCCTAGTTAAAACCTGAGACTAAAATTATGTTGGAAGTTTATAAAGATAAATATAATCACCTGATCCACAGGAAAAACACAAGACAAGAAATCACAAGATGTGGTTCTAGTCCTTGGGCCTCCTATGACCACCTTCATTACTAAGGGCAGGTCACTTGGCCTCTGAACCTGGGAGGCCCCACGTATACCAGAGGAATGTCAAGCATCACATGAGTGAGACATTTCGCTTGCTGTGTATCTTCACCTGGCACTCCCACAAGCATATTATTAACTCAAGATACTCCAAGTGGGCCTACCAGTCGTCCTCTAAATGCTTTTTCCCTCTGTTCCTTTTAGTAGAGGGATTAGAGGGTCAGCTCTGGAGTCGAACTTCATGGGTCCACATCCTGGCGAACTTTGGCCTGTTACATGACCTCTCTGTGCTTAGTTACCCTTTTGTAAATGGGGATATGTTTCATAGGGTAGTTGAGAAATTAAATGAATGCATGTAACATGCTTAACAACAGTGCCAGGCACATAGCTAGTACATGTTCAGTGCCCTCCATGAAGTCTTGCCTGATGAGCATAAAAAGATGGCACAGGTATTATTATTCCTTTCCCAGCACCATCTTCCCAGGTATACCCATTCTGCTGGCATCTCCTCCTCAAGCCTCTCTATTCCTGTCTATTCAGGAACAAAGGCATTTCAGTTTTGCTATCTTTTCCCCTGGCAATTCTTTCTCTCCTTTACTGCCCTTCTTATGACTTATTTCTTGTTACTGCTTATCTAAACCAGTGGACATAACCCCTGGCCCACGGGGCCCATCAAAGGGCAACAAGGTTCAAATGATAGGAGTGCCGAGTGCTTAAGCTGGCATCAAAAGTCTCCTAAATCAAACACTACTAGCAGGATCAGGCTAAATAGACTTCTGGTTTCTGCTTAGGGCTGCATTTATTTCATACTTAGTAATCCTGATATTCTCAGGATGTTCTGTCTTTAGTTGAAATAAATCAAATTAATTGCCACTTGAGTAGTTCAAGACAGGGCTTGGAGAATACAGGTTAGGGACTAGGAACCAACGACCTGGTCTCCACTCTCCTTCAAGCCACAGGGGCTGCCAGATCCATCCTCCAGGAGCTGGAACATTTCTGGGGCCAACTTCCTGGCCTGTCCCCACAGTCCAGTGCACCAGCCAAAACTGTATTAACTGCTCCCTGTGGCTCCTCTTGGCCCTGGCCTGCTAGTCTTTGTTCCCAAGGTACTCCCACTGCAGTCCCCTCAGTTTAGCCACCTTTAAAAAACTCACTTTAAAAGCCAGTGAATTCCCTGGTCCTCCCAGCTGAAAATTATTTCTTAACCCTCAGAATTTCCCCCTAACACTTGCTTTTCATAAAAACCTCCCGAGAGAGTTAGAAGCAGGAAAGTTTGGGTTCCTCTCCTCCACTGCAAGCCATCTGAGGGTAGGAAGTGCTTCAAAATTTTATCTTTGCAGAAAGCAATGCACTAAATAAAGAACACTTACTGCCTTGGTAAAGTGTTTAAATCCTATAGAAAAGGAAGGGATACAAGAGCCCAATTTTAACACAGGATGATCAATATTTTCAAAATTCGAGTTTCAAAATACACTTGGGATATTATCCTTTCTTGACAGCTTTTATCAAGAGCAAATGGTAAAAATATCCTCCAGCCCAAGGCTTAATGTGAATTTACAATGTAATTATTAAAACACTGAGGAGGGGGTAATACACTTAAAAACTTAACACCTGTATCCACAGATAAGCACAGCAAATAATTCAAGCTGCTTAAGTCAAAAATTCTCTAGAGAAAGGCAAAGTTTCAAAAAATAAAAAATAACATTTTTAAAAGGGGAGGGGGAGAATCTAGCTTTGCCCAAGGAGAAGAAGAAATAGAAATAGAGACATTTGAAAAAAAGAAAAGGCAGAACCAATTTTTCATGTATGATTTCTCATGTATAATCGTTAGAATCCCTTCGGCTCAATGGCTAACTGATCATTTGGAGACAAGGATCCTTGGAGACCTGACTACGCGGTCCCTACCGAAGCCGGGGGAGTGACACTTGCCCGGGCCGGGAGGGTGTCGCATTCACACTCGCTCTGCTGCATTCCCCAGTGTATCTGCTTCCTTCTGGGCTCGGGTCGCCCGGTCTCACCGACCCAGCGCCTGTTCCCCGCGCCTCTGGGCAGGAACGCGAGCGCCTTGTCTGCCTGCGCCCGCCGGTCCTCGCAGCGGAGCCGCGCACGACGCGCCTCGGTCCCGGGCGCACAGGACGCGCTCTTTAAGTCGGTTGGCGCAGGACCACGTGCCGCGCCCGGGCGCCTGGGGATTGTAGTTCCACGGCCCCGCCCGCGGCGCGCCGCCCGAGCCGGTGTGGCCCTGAGTCGCCTCCTCCGCCGGGGTGACCTTAACTGTGTGCCGAAATGCGGTCGGCGCCCAGCCCGGTGCCCCGGGAGTCAAAGCCTCCGACCAGGGACTGGGGGTGCGGAGCTCAGGAAACCTCTCCCTGCCCCTTCTGCGCCTGGCCCTTGCCGCTCGGTTCCTCGGTCTTAGCTTTTCTTCTCCGGCCCAGTTTCTGCAAGACCCGGTATTGGTGCCTCTGCGGCGTGAGGTCCAGGGTGCCGTTTACCAAGCCTGGGGAACCCCGCTGCCATCAGGCCTGGCTCTCTTCAGGCCCCGCCGCTGCCCCAGCCTGGCTCGCTTTCATGGGGAAAAGAGATGGCGGATTTAGAAATGGCTTAGCTACTAATGCAGAAGGTTTTCTGGTGTATTCTGGAGAACAATTGGAAGAGTTTTGAAAGGGAAACGTTTTGTTTTGTATTTTTTAAAATAAAATGTCTGTACTTGTAGAAATGTCTAGAAGCGTTATTTGTGATGCAAATGCTACTGGCCATGGAACCCAAGCCCCCACACCCTTGCTAAACCACTGAGCTACATCTCAAGCTTTTTTTTTAGATTATAATTATATATAATAGTGGGATTCATTATGCCATATCTTCATATGCACATAGTACAATTTGATTAACCTCATTCCCCAGTATCTTCCAGTTAGGTAGAACTTGACACAGGCAGTCCCATTTTGAAACATTTCCTCCATCTTAGCAAGAGTCACTTCACGGTTACGCTGACTCAGCCTGACCTTAAAACCCAGACAATACTTCACCATCATGCAAAGAAAGGAAATTAATGCATCTAGGACTGAATCCTGAAAACACATGGTTCCACATGGAACAGTGATCACCTCAAAGAAAGTGACCAAAAGGCACTTTCCTGACAACCCCTAGCAACCGACTAATCACAAAAATTCCCTGGGTCCTCATGCCCCTGTATCTACTGTAAGTGGAAAAGGGTCCCAGTCTCTACTGGCCCTCATCCCCAGGTTTGTCCCAAATAAACCTGCTACTGTTGAGCCACAGCTCCTGTTTTCTTCATTTGTTTCTTTCCTTACACTTCCCATTCCCTCATTTCTTCTCTTCCCCTGATCCACTTGCTCAACTGATCTCCCTTCTACTATTATTTTAATCGGTGCTTCATCAATATATATACAAGTGGGATTTATTGTGGTATATTTGTACATGGACATAACATATGTTTTTTTTTTTTTTCCCTAAATACTCTTTTAATTAAAAAAAAAATTGAGATAGGGTCTTTCTAAATTTCTGAGGCTGATCTGCCCTGGAACTTGCAAGTCCACCTGGTGAAGGCATTCCTGCACCCGCTGTCTGACAGGGTCACAGCATGGGGGATGCTGTGGCAAGGCACACCATCTGGAAACTGGAACCATTAGGAATGTTAAGTGTTTTGTTTATGATAACTCATATGATAAAAGGGCATACGTCATCAATAATAAAAGTATGCATTACCCGAGATTGCAGGAAAATTCTCAGAATGAGACTAAGGGTACAATGGAGACATGCCATGAGGTATGTTTCAATATCTCACAGGATACAAACAATGATGTTATTCCTCAAGCCTAAGCAACGAGAAATATTTATCCCATGGTTAACAATTTATACTAGCCTCCCCCAACCCCATCCTAAAACCACAACCTGTACAATAGCCTAGCTACAGAAAAACAATTGCTGTGCCAACAGTACAAGGACCACCGTATGTAGCTTACGGTATCCCCTTGAGAACAAGAGACTAATAAAAATACATTCCCCAACCAATAGGCCCTCCTTTGCTTTTTGCAGAAACTTATGATGAAAATGGAAAATACATAGTTAATATAAATGACAAATGGGTTGAGGTGTAAAGCCTGACCTTTAGTTAAAGATTACAAAGACATAAGAATTGGTGTGCTTTGACCAAGGATCAAGGAAGTTCTTTAAGAAAGCAGTTGAGGGCTGGGATGTAGCTCAGTGGCAAAGTGTCTGCCTTGCATTCGCAAAACCCTGGGTTTGACCCCCCAGTTCCAAAAAAGACAACAACAAAAAAAAAGATTAAGAAAGCAGTTGAGGGCTGGGGATGTGGCTCAAGCGGTAGAGTGCTCACCTGGCATGCGTGCGGCCCGGGTTCGATCCTCAGCACCACATACAAACAAAGATTTTGTGTCCGCCGAAAACTAAAAAAATAAATATTAAAAAATTCTCTCTCTCTCAAGAAAAAAAGAAAAAGAAAAAAGAAAGCAGTTGAATAGGTCATATGAAAAAAGGAAATTACCTTGGAAATTAAAATAGAATAATGTAAAATTAACATAGATATATTTTAGAGGCACTTCAGAGTAGTAGGCTTTTAAATAATAGACTTTCACTACTTTAAGTGTGTTTTACTGGGATTTTAGGTTAGAAGTAAAAGTCATTGTACTGTCATGTTTAACTAATTAAAACAAAAAAATTTTTAAAAGAAAGCTTACCAATAATCATAAGTATGCTTTAAAGTTAAAGGTTAATGAAATAATCATAGGTATGCTTTAAAGTTAGAGTGAATAATAGGTCAGGAGTCATGTAGTCTAGTTGCGTTGCCTAGCACCTAGTGATTAATTAAAACCCAAAAGCTTAATCATGATTGTCTAAGGTTACAGAAAAATATTTTGATGTACTCAATATCTTAGGTAATCATTGTATGTCAGAAAAGATTGTAACTTTTGAAAATTATGTAAATCAAAAAAGTTTCAGGCTTTGAAGCCACTGGAGCCGCCTATAGTCTACTTTCTAATATTTGACATTGTATTCATAAATCAGGAGGAACATAGCCATAAACAAGTCCTCAGCTTTTTCTTGTTGATGTGAATGGATGCTTATCATTTAATTTAGAAAAAATAAAATTTCCAAAAGTATTTCTAGTTTGCAAAGTGCTTTTAAATGCATTATAATTGCTCTTTCCATGCATGCAGCACCAGAGATAATTGCTAATAATTATAAGTACCACATTCAGTGCTTACTCTGCCTGCACGGTTACTAGCTATTTAAATTTAATTCATAAAGCAATCTCATGTGGTAGGTACTTTTGAGAAAGTTCATATATTATAGATGAGGAGGCATCATTCTATTTCTCAGAACAGAAACAGAAGTTTAAAGAGCTTAGGTAGGTAAATTCGGCGGAGTGCGCACTGGACAAGTAGGATGGTTTGGTTTCTGCGTGTCTGCGTGGTTTGCGTGCCTGGTTCCGTTTAACCTTGTGGCTCTCTTGAAGGCTAAAGACGAAACCTGATTACGAGATCTGAAAGGCAGAATCTGCGAGACCTTCAGCTCACCCTCAGTGTGAGGGCTGTCGCGTGTCAACTGGAAAGAATAAGCAGGATGGAGAGCCCCTTGAGAGCGGTCTGCTGCGCATGTTTACCTTAGTATCCTACCAAAACCTTATACTGTGTGGTGTGGACAAGATTGGAAAACACGGGCTAGCCTAAGCTAAACCACTAACTCTCCAAAGGATTAGTGTCCTCTCCAAAATTACTCGACCTACAGACAAAACCCTAATGACCTAGGGATGCCTCCAAGACAAAACTTGAAGTAACTTTGACAGCTCTCCGATACTTTCCAACCACCTGAAAGATAAGCGGTGGGGTGTTCCGTTTTAAAGTAGAGCGGATTTCTCTATCTCAAGAGAAATTACCTTGTATCAAAAAAGAGAGCTTTCATATCACATCCCCAGAAAGTAAATTTCCCTTCAAGTTTGATTCCTGAGTTCTATTTATTTTATGCTCCCGTTAAGACTAAATGGAACTTTGCAAAGGGTCTAAAATTCATGAACTATAATTGAAATGAAAATATTCACAAACTGAAGACACTTAATAGACCAATAAAGTTCTGTTAAAAAAAAAGGGGGGGCTGGGGATGTGGCTCAAGCGGGTAGCGCTCCCAAGTGGCTAGGAGTTTATAATTTTAATCACTCCTGCATGCTATTCTGTGGAAGGAAGAAAGGGAAAGAGGGAGGGGAAAAAGTTCTGGTTATATGAGATGACTTTTCCTAAGGATGTAACATAGTTTTTATTTTTTAATTTGTTAATAATGTCAATAAGAATATCATCTGAACAACACAATGTCAGTGACTTTTTAAAAGACCCAACTTAGGACTCCTTCCTTCTGTACCTAAAAGGTATAGGTATTAGACTCAACACTGTCAAACAATTAACCCATATTCTAAATGCCTAAATGATCTACTGTTTATATAAATATAATATAAAGCAATTCCTTATAACCAGGTGTTAGAATTTGTTAAGAAGTAGATGCTAAAATGGGATTAGATGTGCAAGAGATTTACTGGGGGGCTGGGGATGTGGCTCAAGCAGTAGTGCGCTGGCCTGGCATGCATGTGGCCCGGGTTTGATCCTCAGCACCACATACAAACGAAGATGTGTCCGCCAATAACTAAAAAATAAATATTAAAATTCTCTCTCTCTCTCTTCTCTCTCTCAAAAAAAAAAAAAAAAAAAAAAAAAGAAAGAGATTTACTGGGGAAAGGAACTGGGGAAAGCAGGGACATCCTCCAGACTGAGATATAGATTGACATCTGTGGAAGGAGAGCTGGAAGGAAAGAGAAGGAAAGGATAGTATGGGGTAGGGAGAGTCTCACCAGAATGCGGTGCAGGTGCACACAGCGTCCATTCTGTGTGCTGACAAACTCAGGGCCTATTGTGTGAATTATGGGGGAGACATTGATCTTTAAAAATATGGTAAGTTAGAGACAGACTTGGGCAAAGATTATGAGAACACTGAGTGGGATCATATCTGGGCTGAGGCGCGCGCGTGTATGTGTGTGTGTGTGTGTGTGTGTGTGTGTAGAATGTTTGAGAAAAGTCCTCCTGGAATGGGTGACAACCCC